TTCGTAAGAAAATACGAAACTTTTATAGTTTCGTAGTGGACCTTATGGTTTCGTCTAAAACCCTACTGCGAAACCACAAGGTTCACTACGAAACTATAAAAGTTTCGTATTTTCTTACGAAACCTTTTTCCGCCCTACGGAACCTAAAAAAGGTTTCGTAAAAGATGGTTCCGGCGGTGTGCCCGCGGTCAGATCCTTTTAAGGTTTCGTAGATTTTGATAATCATTTATTTAAGCGTTTGAACGCATTTAGAAGCTTTTAAGCATCTACGAAACCTTTTTTGAGGGTTCGGTAAAACTCCTTTTTTTTTTACAGTGCAGACTATAGCTCTGAATCGGACAGTAAAACTCAAGTTGTATTAAGCATTTATCAATCTACAGCAACTTATGTTTTCACTTTTTTGTCATGATTGAATAGACCTGGACGAGTTACTTAAACCAAAGACATCATACCTCAGTAACCTCAATATTTATCCGAATTTTTCTTGATTTTAATCATCATAAAGTTAGGAAAAAAAGATTATGCATATTGTTTGAAAAATACTGTTTCCTATTAACAAAATTGACTTTTTCGATATGATCGCAAGATGCCTGAAATAAAGCTTTTGACTATTAGAACTTCAGTTTCGAAAAAAACGAATCTCATATTTTGAGAATAGGTACAAAAATCTGTATCGAATAGTATACTTAATGCTCAAAACTAATCTTCGTCCAATTTTGGTCCTGATAATCCTTCAGTGTTATTTTCGAATAATGTCACCTATGATTCTTCTAAAATCAAAACTTGACACACATAAGTTTTGAATATTCAATATAGATTTTTGCACCGATTCTGAATATGATATTCTACCGGTTACATCAGACAGGGAAAAAATTAATGACAAAATTGTCTCATTATTTCTACACTATGTATTAATAATACCTAGAAGAATCTCTTATGTTATTCTTAGAATGCTGATGTCTTTGAACAACAAGTTGAAGTATTGAATGAACAAATCAAAAGTCAAATGTCTAACAAAATTCCATCAGAACAGGATTATTATATCGATTTTCCGATAATAAATTATGTTTATGCTGATGTAGAAACATGGAAACAAATACAACGTGAACGACGTTTATTTTATAGAAAATGTAATGATCTACATAGTTTACTTACATTACAACGACTGTAAATACATTTTTTCTTTATTTCGATATATTATCATAAACTATTTCTAGTATGACAAATCACTTTCTCAATCTTCTTCAGTCACTTATTCACGATCCTAACTTCTTGCAATCAAGTGGTCGAGATGCTTTCCTTGAGTTATTTCGTTAGTAAGTATTTTTATTTATAACTGTTTGTTATGATAGTCTCGATCGTTTAGTTCTTTAATCATTGTTGCACAGCCATCTGGTACTGATTGTATAGCAGTAACGAAATATGAGAAAGTTGGCAAAGATTTCTTAGCAAAAATAAAGACACGAATTATTTGTCTACTAAATCTAAATGAAATCGGAAAATATTTGCAATACTCAAATATTGGTAAGATTAATATCATACAAAAGTTTGGTTGTTTTTTTGTGAAACACAATTAAAAAATGAATATTCAGGTGTAGAGATAGAAGAATATATGAGCTACTTGCTTATTGCATTTCAGAAAGATTAAGTAAAAGACTAGCAAAGAATAGAATTAGGCAGAGTGACATTTTTTTTCTCACCCTATACATTGATTAAGAAAAAATTTCTGATTCTTTTTCTACACAATCAAAAAAACATTGATAAAAATACGCAATTTTACAAGTCAAAATATATGTTTTTTACGTTTTGAAAAAAAAAGTATTCAAACAAAAGTGCAAATCGGAAGAAGCTACCGCCCACAAGTTTGTTTTTTTTTTTTTTTATAAAAATAAAAATTATTTTCCTATCGTTTTTTCGACGTAAAAAGAGCACATTTTAATATATCAAAATAAGCTCTTGTTTGACTGAAAATGTTTACTTTATTCTATGAAGTATTTATATCACTCTCTCTTAATACATATACTATGTCCTCTAGACTGAGAACAACTTTATAATCCTTACTTTACTCTGCAGATCTCTAGTGAAGAAATGTTTACCAAAATAGTTAACATAAAACAATATTCCTGTGATTAGGAAGAACAGTTATATTGAGTTTCATATGTTAATGTTGCAAGTTTTGTACGAACAGTTTTATTATTAATATTTCTATTTTCTTTTAAGATGTTATACTTTATCCAAAGGATCGTAATTGTGATCCTAATGGTGATGTACAATCATCACTTCAATGGAAAAGACGAACAATCATTAGTAGTGAACAAGAAGAACAAATATTTTTCTATGTTGAACTAAATGAAAATGATTCTATCAAATTAACAAAAAAGAATTCTAAAAATAAACTTTTGTACAATCATGGATTATGTCAATTGGAATTTCGAACAAAATTTAAAGTAAGATATTAATTTATTTGTAAAGATAAAGTTGAGATTTACACAAAATTAACCAGATTTTTAAAAAAATATAAATTCAAAAAAAAAGAATTAATACATAAAGTTATGTTTAGTTTTTATTGAAATCGAGAAAGTTTGTAGAGCTAGTCAGTGTTCGTTGTGGTCAAATAATAATAAATGTCTTCTCTTAGAATTTAACACTCCAAGCATTTAAAAATGTGTTACTTCATTTGTTCATAAAGATATTTTCAAAAATCATGTTCCATTGTCAACACAAAAAGAAACCATTTTTGCATATATTACAGTATGAATAAATGAAAATAAATATTTTGCCTGTGACATTTATATATTTATATAGATAACTGGATATGATATAGAAGAAACTATAATATTAAATTCACAATTATTTGGACTATGTTCACATGCAAAATATTATTCAACATTGTTGGCTAAAGTTTTTATCGATGAAATTAACCAAGACCATCGGAATGTAAGTCATATATATATATATATATGTTTCAATAGGATAGTTTCATTAGTTATTAATTTTTCTTTGTTTAGATTGCTCTCGAAACTCATATCAATACTTTGATAGGATACATTTGTAAGTTTCATAAACGTCTTTCAAATGTTGAAATAAAGTCTCATACTCAACAATTTATTGAAGAAGAATTACAAGAAGTTTTTAATAGATTTCTTAAATCTGCAAATTCAATAAATGCACCTGTAATGATTTTTTCCTTAGAAATTTATCAAGTAAATTAATAGTTATTATTATGATTCTCCTTTTATTTTTGTCATTGATTTTAGAATATTTTAGAAAAATTATTTACTCAAATAAAATTTTTAAATAATTATTCTTTTCTTTCAATGATGTATTATGATAGGTAATATTAAAACTTAATTTATTTTTTTTTATTGAATTTTTCATATATTACTTTTTTTTTTTAGTCTATTTCATGGTATATGTAGCGATAGAATTGATAAGAAATTGAATGATGTTATTCAACAAATACCTCAAATGATAATGCGATTTGAACAATTTAAAAGCCAAAAAACAGAATATCCAAATATTATTTTTGCTTTTTATGATGGTTTGTAACAAATTTCGATGAAAAATTTTAATTGAAAAAAATTTATTTCATATAGGTACATTACGAAAAGCACGTACTACTCATGAATATTTTATTGAAGATATATGTAGATGTCTTTGTAAAGCAATAAACAATGATAAAAATCAATTACAAGTATTTAATGAAAATAGAATGATTCCTTTTTATTATTTTCATTGGTATCATGGTAAAACTTGATAATATTCTTAAAATGTATTTTTTTTTGAATATGATCTATTTTGAATTTATAGATAATGATTTAAATCGTGATAATTTAATTCAAACTGATGATGAAACAATTTTTTATCCATTACAAACTCTTCTTCAAAGTACAATATAAATATTATTGAATATCAATAATATTCTCTTTTCTTTTTTTTTAAAAGAAATGATAGATAATAATGCATTCATTTGACTTATTTTTTATTTTTTTATTTTATTTAAAACAAAATATATAACAAAGAATATTTTTATTTATTTATGATATTTTTGTTTTTTCATTCAATTAAGTTTGTTAAAAGTTCTAGATATACCTTTTATCATGCCGAAGGCGAAAAACTTCAAAATTTAAAGATTTATATTCAAATTATTGTAAGTATATTAATTTTCAGACAAATTTCTGAATGATAATGAGATTGAAAAGTAAAATTTATCTACGTAGTGTATTTGATATCATAATTGATGTTGTTTAATTTGATAGCAATTGCTTTTTTTTTTGAAATAAGAAGAATTCATATTTCTACTTTCAAGGTGAGAAAACAAGGTTAAAAAAATTATTCTTCATCTAAAAAATTAAAAGCAATACACTTCAGTCTTTTGTATGAATTAAGACAACATACTTGATTTTTTCACTGAAAGCCAGTCAATAATGGTTAGAAGAATGACGAATTTTTCAACAATTGCCTTCAGTTTTGTTTTTTTTTTTTTATTACGTTTATAATATTTATATTTCAATTTTTATTTATAGTCAATTAAATTATTAAAAGAAAAGACGACGATCAAAAAAAATAGTTTATTATAAAACTAATTAGATATATTGTATTATTAGAAGACGAAAATTGTTAAAAAAAATATGACAACAAATAAAAAACAAGCATCAAAACGATCTGGTATTTTGTTATTATAAATAAAAATTTTTATTGCATATGATTTTATTTATAGCAGCACGACGTTCTTCAATCGATATCGAATATATCAATACTGATGTTTTACAAACTGAAATGAATTGGTTAAATGATTATGAATTTCTATCACCAAATGAAATATATATGAATGCTATAGGCCTCATATTTAATTTAACAACAAAACGTCTTATTCATATATCATTTATGAATTTTTATCAACGAAGGTATGATCTATAATAGAAATAATTCTTATTTAATATTATTTGATATTAGTTTAAAATTTACATGGATGAATTTATTGAAACGTGAACGACAAAAATTAAAATCAAATATTAATTCAGTAGAAAAATGTTTTATGATTAATCGACTTATTGCTGAATGTAAAAAGGTAATAAAATGAATTATTTAGTAAAATTTTTATAGAGACTAATGATAAATTATAGAAATAATTAGTATACACAATTGTGTTATTTTCTTTTTTTTTAAGGATCCTTGTCAATTTGCTCGACAAACAGGAGAATTATATGAAGAAATTGAAATGAGAATATCATGTACAATATCATTACCAAGGGTAATTTATATTGAATATAGGTCGCGACTAAGATTGATAATTTCTTTTTTATAGACAGTAGAAGATTTTTATAGTCAAGTAGAGCTTCGGATAAATTTACAATCTCAAAGACGTTTATTTCATATTAATCATGAGGAAGCAAATCGACCATTAAGTTTACTTGCTCTACAACAAGCGTAAGAATTTCATGATAATTCTTATTCATTAAGTGAATTTCACATTTTTAGTGCAACGAAAATTTATTCTCATTTTCTCAATTGTTGTCAACAAAATCTTAACAAACAAAATTATGATAATTTAAAAAAACTTTTACAACAGTTAGAAATTATCTAGATTTTCATCAATGTAGTTTTTCTTTTTTAAATATTTCTAGTTCTTTTATTATTATTAAACAACCATCTATTCCAGAATGTGTTGCAGCTACGAAATATGATAAATCGGACAATACATATTCTGCTAAATTACATGCACGTATTATATGTTTATTAGAACCAGATACAGTCAAAAATAGTTTACAGTTTTCAAATGTTGGTAAGAGTATGAATATATGATAGCTAAAATCTAATTTTTTCGACATAGCTGTTACACTTTTTCCGTTCGATCGTAAGTTGGATTCATTTGGAGAAGAACAACAAGCACTTATATGGCATAAAAGACGAATAATTGATCCTGAAAATGTACTTCGATCATTTTTTTATGTTGAACTTAAAACGATTGAATTAAAAAAGTTTGATCAACCTAAATCACGACCCGTATATAATGCTAAGATATGTCAATTAGAATTTCAAATCAAAATTCGAGTAAATAGATCATTGAAATACGTATATTTCTTATACTAAATATATATAGATAAATGAACTTAATATTGACGAAAATCTTACATTGACTTCAAAACAATTCGGTATCTGTTCACATGCTCAATACTATCCTGAATATATTACTCACATACTATTATATGAAGTTGAGCAAATATCACAATCTGTATGAAATATACATATCATTTATATTTTTAGAAATATGTTTCTATTGATTTTTAGAATAGTTCTATAATTCACCCTAACATTCTCACACATTATATTCTTCGATATTATACTCGTATCTCAGGTGTAGAAGCAAAACCTCATACTACTCAATATATTATGAATGTTTTACAAACAGTCTACGGTTGATAACATAAAACAAAAATTATAAAATTCATATATGTAAATATTTTTATAGAGAAAATAACAATATCTCAATTTACTACTTCACTCGATATCTACAAAGTAAAATTTTTTTTTTACTCAAGGCATACTAAAAGTAGTGGCACAGGTATTTTAATGTCTCGTAGAAAGATTAATGAACCTTACTCTAAAAATTTCATTAAGA